GCGTTCCCCGCGCCCACTCCCCTCTCTCTCCAGCTCGCGCCCGCGCCCGAGATGGCCGTGATTCGATTTTCGAATCCCGCCTCTCTCTCCTCCCCCACTTCCCCACGTCGGCCGGCGATTCCCGCCTCTCCCGGCCACGTCCGGTCCTCTCTCTCCCTATTTAAGCTCCTCCGTCGCCCCCCTCTCGCTTTTTCCCCATTTCGCCGAACTCTCCCGAGTCTCCCATCGCTCCCGCGCCGTGCAACCACCCGCCGCCGCCGTTTCCGCTACTCCGGCCGCCGCTAGCTGCCGCTAGGCTCGCCGCCGCACCGCGCCGTCGCCGCCGTCGGGTTCGCGTGGCCGAGATCCACCCCGTCCACCCCTCCTTCGTCGAGGTTCGCCGCCGGAGCGCCTTTCCCATCGTGCGACGATGAGGGTCGCCATGTCCGCCGCTTTCGGCCGGCATTCCCGTCTCCTATGGCCCCTCTCTTCCTCTCTAATCTCTTTCTTTTCGTTCTTTAGGTCATCCCGGTCGCCGTCCGCCGCGTGTCGACCTCCCTCCGTCGCCCCTCGTCGCCGGACGCCGCCGTCCCCTCCGGTGAGGACTCCCTCCCCTTTCTTTTTCTTCCCCAATTCCCCGTGCGTCGCCGCCGCCCGCGCTCGCCGTCGCCTTCGGTCGTTGCCGCCGTCCGCTGCCGCCGCTTTCGCGTCGCTTTTGCGCCGTCGCCTCCGCCGCCGGATGCCGTCGCCGGCAACGCGACGCGCGCGTGCCGCCGCCGGATGCCGTCGCCGGCAACGCGACGCGCGCGTGCCGCCGCCGTTAGCCCTGGCCGGCCGGTCGGCTTTGATGCCGAGCCGAGCCCGGCGGCCGCCTCTATCGCCGCCCGTCCGATCGGCCCCGAGGGCGATCTGGGCCGTCGGTTCCGTGGACCGGCGGTGGACCACCCGCGTGGTCCCGGTCCACGGTGAACCGCTCTCCCCTGAGCCGCTGACCAGTGGGCCCCGCTTGCTGGCGCCGCACCCCCTCCGTGCTGACGTCAGCCCTGGAAAATATTGCGCAATAAATTATTTAAGGATTTTTGTTATAGTAATAAACACAGTGAATCTTCTAAAATTCATAATTAATTCATCCGAGCTCCGTTTAAGCCCATTCAAGTCTCAGTAAATCAAGAAAAATGTGTAGAATCCATTAAAAATGGTTTTGTTCCCTGTTTCAGTAGTCTTATAGCCTGGTTGCAATGTTTGCTTTGTATGTCGCTAGATTCCGGTTCCTCCGACGCTCCGGTGTACTTCGAAATAGTCGCTGAGGTTCCTCCAGCAGCAGAGCAAGACAAGTCATGCTTATCACTTGAACATGTTGATCCTATATTGCAAATGCTCTATTGTTTTCTTTCAAATATTGCATTGTTTTATAATGTTACTATGGGATGTTTACCTATTGTCATAACCATGCTATTGTTGAACCATGTCTCTTTGTTAGCTTGGGGTTATAACATGATTAGAGTTTGGACTAGGAATTACTTAGCCATGCTTAGTTCAACTAGTTCACAATGGGGAAGATCTTATTAATGATTAGACTGTTGGTTCTAATGGTTTTGTTGGATTAGTGCCACCGCTTTGGTGGTGCATGGTTTTGCTGGTCGCACCCATGGCAGTTAAGGACCGGTTCGCGGGATGCCCTGGAAAAACTTATCGTACTTACCACAAGCCAGCGTGGGCAACGGCTGGGCTTGTAGTGTAGCTTTCCTCTAGCCGACGCATCCAGGCAAGGGTGGGCGTGATGGAGTTTGGATGGGCCCTGCGACGGCCTATGCGGCTTCCGGATTCACCTAGGCACGAGAGGGGACTTGCCCGCTGCCTTGCGAGGAGTGGGGGTGAAACCTGAGGTGTGGTGTGCTTGGTCAGAGGGGGTTATGCGAATGGTCCTGTCACGGCCTCTTTCCGGTATGTCGTGGTGGCATGTCGGCGCACGGAAATGTGTCGTGGGGCTGTGTCTTGTGGGTACAGTTGTACATCTCTGATCAGAGTAAAACTATTCGAATAGCCATGCCTGCGGTTATGGGCGGTCAACCAGATTCACCGTGATTAGTCTCACCCTAGTGTAATCTTTTGAAATTGGATAGTTTAGGTGGATGGTTGGGCCTGTCGCAACGTGGGATAGCGTTGGACAGTGGATAGTTAATATTAATTAATTATTACAACTGTTTAATCTTTCAACTTCTGTTTATAAATGCTCGCTTTATGCAAATGAACCACTTTAGCTCTTCTTTGATGATTCCCTGCATCATGCCTCTATTCCGGTATGACTTGCTGAGTACAGTGGGTAGTACTCAGTCTTGCTCTAATTTTCCCAACCCCAGAGCACGAGTATGTGTCAGACGAAGGTTTCTCCGAGGAGTAGGCTTCGTCCGTGCCGTCGAGGATGCCTGTGGAGTGGTGTTCCCGCTGCAGTTCTAGTCAAGGCTTAGCTTCTGTTGTCTTTCTTTCTTTCCGCTGCATTTATGTAAGACTTTTATGATGTTTGTAAGACGTGGATCTGAATGTCAACATTGTCGTCTGTGTACCCCGGCCGGTCCTGGACGGGGATTTTAATGCACATTCTGCTTGGAATTCTATTCGGGAATTTCTGGGCGTGGCAAGTTGGTATCAGAGCCGACCTTGACCGTAGGACAAGCCAAATGGAAAAACCTAAGAGCCCTCTGAATCCTTTTCATTGCATATGTTCTTTGCAATTGGATTTGTTCCGGGAAAATTGGGATCTGTTCTTGTGGTTCAAGGGAAAAATCTTGGTCGCTCGTTTAAGTGAGATTTGTCAAAAACAAGTCAGTCCAGGGTTTTAGTAAAACTGTTGAGATTTATTCGTCAGTCAGTTGGGATTTGATGGGTGAAATGCATTAGGTCCTAGCTCAAGAACATGGGTAGCAAGGTATTTATGCTCTTATTGTTATTATTAGTATGTATCTAATTTCCCCATTATTTTATCGTTATGTGAGTCTGTCTTATTTATTCGCTCTCATGCAAAATGATCTATGCATAAAATTTCGCTCTTATTCGATTCGCTTATTTGAGTCTTTTATTGCTTTATTTAAATTTGGATTTGAGCATGCATTGATCCTACTCCTTTGTCTTCTCTAGATGGCCGGCCACTCACCCAACCACCGTGGAGAAGGCATGATCGACTTTGTGGCAGAGTTGGCACGTATGACACTGGTGGTGGGCTACCCCAACGCGCCAGAGTACACGACGGTTCCACCGCTCAGTGGCGAGCTTCCTCACCGTGTTCGCTTGGAGGTCCACGGCTACGTGGGTACCTGCCTAGCTAATATGGTGGTTGAGGCATCTGGAGGCACAGCAGATCACGCCTGTCAGGAGGCAGCATACCTGATGATGGCCAGACTACGGGAGCGCCACAACTACATCTTCCACGACACGGCGTACCGATTTCACCCTCGTCGAGCCAGTGGTGATGATGTCAGTACCTTCCGTCCGACAGCCGGCGAGAACGACACCACCTTTGGTCACATGTGTGCTGTGATGAGAGGATTGGATAGGATGCACTCGGACCTGCACAAGGCGACCAAGGCCTTGAATGATGGGAAGCTCATGAGGATCGTCGCTCTGAAGGACGAGATAGCGCGCCTGAAGAGGGAGAATGCTCAGTTAAAGGGTCTTCCCGCGCCAGGAGGAGACGTGGATCTGAATGTCAACATTGTCGTCTGTGTACCCCGGCCGGTCCTGGACGGGGATTTTAATGCACATTCTGCTTGGAATTCTATTCGGGAATTTCTGGGCGTGGCACCGAACCTATATAAAAATCCATGTCTCCATCTCTTTTACCTCAATCTCGCATATATCCTAGTACCAACGATCCCCATATTATGCAAATACCGGAATCGCGACATCAAACGTCGATAGAATCTTTCAACTCAAATTTAAGTTGAAAGTTTTTGAAATTTAAGTTGAATGCTTTTGAATTTTGAGATGAAAATTTTCAAATTTAAATTGAATGCTTTGAATTTTGAGATGAAATTTTTTAAATTTGAGTTAAAAGTTTTCAAACCTGAGTTAAATTTTCAATCTCGACTTGATTTTTTTTAAATTTGAGTTTGATGTTTTCAACTCTGAGTTAAAAATTTTCAAATCTTCATTGAAAGTTTTTAAATCGGAGTTGAAAATTTCAAAAAGTTCAAAATCTTTAGCTTGAAAATTTTCAAACCCAAGTTAAAAGTTTCAAACATTAATTTGAAACTTTTTAAATCCTGACTTGAACGTTTAAATTTAAGTTGGATGTTTTTAAATCTTTGACTTGAAAATTTAAATTTTAACTTATTAGTTTTCAAATCTGAGTTGAAAGTTTTCAACGAGTGAAGAGAAAGTAGATTGGATAAGGTGTACGCTGCTTCGCTCACTTCCGTATGTCTCCTTCAAATAGAAACCCCTATAATCGCAGCTACTGGGATGAGGGCCTGTTTAGATTTCTTGGCAAAATTTTACACCCTATCACATCGAATGTTTGGACACATGCATGGAGTATTAAATATAAATGAAAAAAAAAACTAATTACACATATTGCGTGTAAATTGCGAGACGAATCTTTTAAGCCTAATTACGTCATGATTTGACAATGTGGTGGTACAGTAAATATTTGCTAATGACGGATTAATTAGGCTTAATAAATTTGTCTCGCGGTTTATAGGCGGATTCTGCAATTAGTTTTGTTATTAGACTATGTTTAATACTTCAAATATATGTCCGTACATTCAATGTTACAAGCTAAAACTTTAGCAGCATATGCCATGCTAGCCTTCGTACTACTACTTTGTAAGGAATTTTTTTTTCAGATTAGAGTTTCTATCTAGACTCTATTTTGGGCCTGTTCACTTTGATGCCATTTTCAACCTTACCAAATTTTAGTAAAGTTACCAAAAATATGGCTACATTTAATTTGCTGCCAAATTTTGTTAACTATATAAGAAATCCTTACCAGGTTTTTTTTAGCATCAAATTTAACAGGCGCTTGGATACTGAAAGATTGGAATTCAGTTTTCTACCCTTTGCGAATTTGCGAATCAGAACAGCAAAAACCTAAGCAAACCCTAGCTCCGGCGATGCCTCCCGCTGCCGCCGCGGAGGCGGAGATCTCCCCGCCGCCCCCGGCGGCCGACGGGGGGGCCATAGCGGATACGGCGGAGGCTGGTGTCGCGGCTGAGAAGGAGAGTGACGGGATGGAGGTGGAGGATCGCGGCGAGGTGGTCTCCCAGGAGGCCACGGCGGTGAAGCCGGATGAGGCGGAGGAGCCCGAGGAGGATCCTGAGGAAGTCGGCGAGGGGGCCGAGGAGGCGCCGGCGGCGGGTCCTGGAGACGTCGCGGCCGCCGCGGCTGAGTCGGGGCCCGTCGCGATGGAGGCCGGTGATGGGGAGCCGGCGCTGGAGGTGGCCATTACTGCCCATGAGCCGGTGGAAGAGGAGCCCAAGGATGTAATGGAGACGGGCGAGGAAGCAATAGAGCCGGAGGAGGATGAGGAACCAGAAGAGGCAGAGGTAGAGGAGGATGAGGAACCAGAAGAGTTGGAGATGGAGGAGGAGGAACCTGAAGATGCAGATTCAGAGGAGTCGATGGAGGAGGAGGCAGGCTCAGAGGTCTCTGAAGAAGAAGCTGCGGCGGATGGTACGTAGAACCTATGCATTTTGATTGTGTAGTTTCTTAATTTCTTAGTGCAATGGTAACTTCTATTTGGTAGAATCGGCAAAGACAGGGAGAGGCAGAGGGAGGCCTGGCCTCCCCTAACCGAATAATATTTGTCGAGTAGCTGCTAAGCACTCTTGTAATTTATATATGGTGTCTAATTGCTGCGTGTTAGACTTTACATGCCAATATGCTAGTCTGCAAAAAGCAATTGAGGCCTGGCCTCCCAACCGAATAATATCTGTCGAGTACCTGCTAAGCACTCCTATAATTATATATGGTGATTAATTGCTGCGCGTTAGATTTTACATGCCAATATGCTAGTCTGCAACAAACAATCCATCCCTAAAAAAAGAAAAAAACAATGAAAGAATCTTAAAGCGGAATTGCTAGGCCTCTTGGCTGTTACTAAGTAATTCATTATCTGATAAAAAAGCAAAAGCATGAACTTAGCCTCTAATATCCATTTATTTGTAACCACAGATTTACCTCGCCACTATAATTTCGATTCCTAAAATCTTAGCATGTTATATACTCCATCGGTCTCAAAATAAGTTATTTCTGGAGTTCAAAATTTGTCCCAAAATATGCTGATTTCTATCCATATTTTTATACTGGGTCCACAAATAGGGCATTTCTATCTATTCAATACCATTTACCTACCTACCGTATTAATTCTCTTCATACTAATTTGAATCCCGATTGATAGGAATCAATTTATTATGAGACCAAGGGAGTACATCTTGTGTTCCGCCGGTGATAAATGGTAGACGAAAAATACTATATTGTCCAAATATAGATATGTTGATATGATTTGTTATCCATGGAAAATGATTGAAATTTCCATGTATTGTCATGCTAAATTTCTACTATCATCGTCAGTCGGTATGTAAGGAATGTTGCCCCCTGCATGTTTAAATCCTGGCTCTGCCACTGACTCGTAGTTGGAACTGATAAGGTTGAGGGGCTATTCAGTTGAATGAACAAGATTTTGATGCGTACTGCATGAATATTCGGATACTTGTTGGATGGTACCAACTAGTCTTTACTTTTAAAATTACAGATTTATTTGCTTATTGAGAGGGAACAGTTGAGTCAAAAGGGCTGTAATGCTGTATGGTGTGAAAACAGCTGCTTGCTAATTTATCTTTGCCCAATATCAACATTTTGTCAGCCTGTTACACAAGGTTGGTTTCCGGCCAAAACCTCAAGTGTTATCTGAAACCATATCTTATGATGGCTAAACCCTTCAGTTTTGTTTTATTTGTTCAGTAATACCACATGTTAGAATCTAATTTGAGGTGCAAATAGTAGCAGGGGTCTCTACTGACTATATTTTTTTATAGATATTAAAATCTCTTTAACTAATTTCAAAGATTATTATGCTGAGATGAGCATTATGTACGAGAATATTTCTATTTCATTGTTTCTTGTGCCCTACCTTCTATGTCCAACTACCCAATAGTTATAGATGGGTCACCTTTTTTCCTTTGATACTCCAGACATGAAGGAAATAGCTGACAAGGATTCTGAAGAAGCTCAAGATGAAGATAAACATGGGGATAATCATAAGGGTGAAGTTGCTGACCAATTGAGCAATGATGAGGATGTTGGTGGACGTGAAAATGATGAATCACCAAATGATGAACTCGACACCTCATTGCTTGTGCTGGATTCAGTTCCAGATGGGAATGACAAAACCCTTGAATTATTTGTCGGTGGCTTGCCTAAGGACTGTGTTGAAGAGGACATTAGAGTGGTGTTTTCTCAATGTGGAGAGGTTGAATCTATTAGAATAGTTAAAAAGAGAAAGCGCATTGCATTCGTTCGTTATGCAGATATCAGTGCCACAAAGAAGGCTCTTACTGAATTTAAGGATGGAATCAAGGTTTTGATTTTATGATGCTTTCAGTCCTTTGAATGGTTTGACTTTGAATCAGTCGTTGCTTATGGAGTAATGATCGTATTCCCTCTTTCATGTTTTCGTTAGGTAAATGGCAAAAGTGTCAGAGTATCTGTTGCTGAACCTCATAGAAAATCTAGTGAGCAGAAGGCTCTTACGAAGGTAATAATCCAGTGCCAGTTTAGCATATTAAAGTTGTTCTCTGAAGTTCTATTTTTCTTTTCCTTATTTTATTCCTTCAACGTTTTTTTACTAGCACCTATTTGAACCATTCAATGGACTAGGCTTTTTAGTGGAATCCTGATTCAGAAACAACAGTTCAAGCGTCATGATTGATGACGGCATAGAAAGCCATGAGAGCATTGGTGGGGAGAGGAATGTTTTGTACTTAAATAAAACTTAAAACATTCTTTCTAGTGCTTTGGCTTGGAAGTTATTTTGCGCTTAATATAAAACATAAAGCATGCTATTTTTTCTTGCTCATATTGCTATTTCTGTAGGTTAAAACAGTATATCTGGAACATTTTCCTCGTTCTTGGGATGAGAGAAATATCGAAGAATGCTGTGAAGGATATGGGAATATTCAAAAAGTTAACATTTTGCGGTCAAAAAAGAAAGTTGTTTCTTTTGTTGAATTCTCATCACGGAAGAGTGCGTTAGCTTGTGTCGAAGGAATAAGCAAGGCCAAGATCAATGATAGGGAAGTTAAGGTATTTTATATCTTTACTCATACCACTGTTGAATCCAATCCAAGTACCACTTTTGCTTTCTTTGTTTTACCTAATTTGGCTGACATGGCTTTTCTCACTCCATATCTAGTTGGCTGCAAGTCTTGCTCGACCACAATCTAAAGTTCAACTGGCCAATGAGAGTAGTAAGGGTGGTTTCAATGTCCACAGTGGTGCAACTTCTAAAAGTCCTGATAAATCTAAAATGAAAAAGGACCAGACAGACGAGACTATTGTGAAGAAATCACAGCTTAAATTGTTGAAAGGTGATGAGAGCAAGCTGCCCTCCAAAGATGATGTGGAAGTGCCACAAACATCAACCCATTCCAAAGGAAAAGCGAAAGTTGGAAAGCGTCAAAATACATCTATAGATGAAAGGCCATCAAAGAAATCACGGGAGAGTGGTATGTTCTCTCTGTCAATTCTATGATGTGAATTATAATGTGAAATAGAACTCACCACGTTAATTTCTGAAAGGTGAGAGCAAGCTGACCTCTCAAGATGAAGGGGAAGTCGGGAAGAGCAAAAGTAAATCTGTAAATGAAAGGCCATTGAAGAAAGCATCGAAAAACCGTATGATCTCTCTGTCAATTTCGATTTTAAAATTATTTGATTAAGGAAGTGGTTATCAATAATAATTCACCAATGTAAACTACTGAAAGGTGATGACGTTAAGCTGCCTTCGCAAAGTGGTTTGGAAGAACCACAAACATCCAACCGTTCTAAGCGCAAAAGGAAAGTCCGGAAGAATAGAAGTACAACTGTAAATGAAAGACCAGTGGAGAAAGCATGGAAGAATCGTATGTTCTTTCTGTCGATTCTCGTTTTATAAGTTGTTTGATTAATGGATTGTATTTCTGATACTTTATATTCTGCAGGAAATATTAAGCATCCTGCAGGTTCTCGATATGTAACTAGCAACCAAGCTTACCCCACTGTGGGTGCAACTTCCAGATCTAAACCACATTCCCATGATTTGGTAGTATAGCACTTCAAGTTTATTGATCTTGAGTTATTGACATTCTTAATTCTAATGAACATTATTCTTGCATGTTTGTTTTGGTCACTGACGTGTTCATGTTTTTAGGCACCTCATGCTGGATTCATCCCTCCTTCAAGTCGTGTTCAAAGGACTCCTGCACGTGATCACCAAAGGTTCATTTTTTTTTTCAGCTTGTTACTTCTTTGGTTCTGATCAGATCTTAGCCTCTTACTAATCCTATTATTTCCATGTTTTTGCAGAACTGCACCGTACAATATCCGTCAGATCAGTGGTTCTCCTTATGCTAGAGGTACATTGTTGAAAATGATTCATTCTGTTTACATATGCATGTATTAATATTTTAGTAATTATCCCACATAGTATGCATTATCAGTGAGATGAGTTGCATCTGTTTTGTTATCTTTGTAATAATCTTTGTTTTAGTTTTATCTGGTGTTATTTTCGTAATTCTATTTTGTTGACAAAACTTATCGTGGGTCTACCTGGCATATGGTAGACTGTTTGACAACTGCAATTATATACCTGGAATAATTTACGCTATGGAGTACCTACTTCTGTGTCATGCCCTCTGACATTCCTTTTGTGCTCTTGTCCACAACCTGCCTTGCCATGGTCTTGTTGTGGCCATTTTGCTTAGGCTAGTACCAGAGTCTTTATCAGTCACACATATATTGCAATTGAAGTCTTACAACTGTTCAGTGTACAATTTTTTGCTTAGTCTGGCTACTAAGTGTACTATATACATAAAACAGATGTTCAGATTCTGTAGAAGTTTGCAATTTATACAATAATTTTAGAAGCTAGCAAAGCTTGTGGCACCATCTAGGTTTGTGAACCCTCAAGTTACCCTTCTATACAATGGGCCCTTTTGATTAATCGTAACTCTAGTTTAATACTCTATCACTGCAAGGGTCATATGAACCATAATCATGGAAATTTTCCGCTGAACCTAGCATCAAAAGAAAGGAATAAGTACATTTATTCCCTCCTTTTGTTTGAGTGGAGTTCACCCTTAACTATAAGCAGTCAAACTTCCATCTCATAACTATAAATTCTGCCAGTGTATTATGTGCACAACAAGATGGGACTCCCAGTTTGGTACTAGTGAATTGATATTACTTGAAATCTTTGTAGTCTGTCATTAGTTGTCAAGAAGATGCTGCCTAAGTTATAACTTTTTCACAACTCTTATAATTTGTAGTTTAATTTTCGTTTGTTCCTTTTGCCAGAAAGAGTAGCTCCGCGACCAGCATATTCTGTTCACACAAGCAATGCTGCTGGATACGAGGTATGTTGATTACTGATGTTGGCATGCTTGTTTAATTTACACTAGAATATGAGCTAGAATTGGTTAAGAGTCAATATGAATACAGATCTCTAGTGCCCACATGCACCTCGTTTGAAAGTTTATACGTGATTATAAATAAAAGATACCTCCTGAAGAAGTTACTAACATTTATAGTTTCTACTTTCTGGAAATAATCTTTACTGTTCTGCAGTAAATGTATTGCATTCCAACACAGGAAATTGCATTTAAACCAGATGAGAGATACAGTTCTTGTTACCTATCAACTTCTAAATAAGGACAAAGGCTCTCTTTGGATGTTTTTTTTTCCTTGAACACGCAAGAGACTTTGGATGGTTATTGGGGCTATAAAAACTTCTTATGCCACGTTAGAAATTTCTGATAACTTTGGTGATGCACATTTAATTATTCTTTTACAGCACGCTAGTAATTTTTCTAAATCAGCTTTGACAATCTTTTGGAAATTATATCATCATATTGGCCATGCTGATTTTTCCTTTTTTTTTGTTTTTTTTTTGTGATGCCCTTGCAGGCTGGATATGCATACACCTACCTTCCCCCACCACCACCACCTCCACCTAGTATATCTTATCATCCACCTCCTCCGGCAAGTATATCTTATCATCCGGGGAGTGGCCCATACATCATACGAAGATACTACTGACTGAAAATCCAGGTGGCTACAGCAGTCAACATGCCTCACCATGGTCTCATGGTAACATACTTTACAGCTCAGTGGCAACCTTGATGCTGGAAATGTACAAGTTTAATTGAATTGTAGATAGTTTTGTTTGTTTCTTTCTTTGTGAAATCAGATGTACATGCTTTGGTTGTTCAGTTCAAAAATGTCGTTCTAGGGAAATAAGAACCTGTGCCTTGTCTCGTTGGCTATTAAAAAAGGGGTGAAAATAATAAGAAATGCAGAATGTCTGTTGTTAAGCATGATTTCTTGGAGGGGGCACAGCGTGGAACTATTTGTTTGTAAATTAATCTTTGACTGTACGAAATCATTGTCCACTAACAGTGGTCAAATTAGCATATACTACCAAACCACGCCCTATCAACACAGTGGTAGATTTTGTTTGTGGAATATGACTACTCACCATTAAAAAAAAAGAAAATACTGATTGGATTGCTACGTATACGTCACGTAGGATAAAACCGCTCTGGATTGAGGTAAGGGGGGTAATTTGTCCGGAATTAAAAGTTCAGGGTAAATGATGTCTGGTTTTCGAGTTTAGGGGGTAATTCGATCAACCACGATAGTTTAGGGGGTAATTCGTACTTTTTCCTATAAAAAAATAACGTTACTACGTGCAAGATATTTTCTTTTATCCTTGTCATTTACTTTAATATAAAAAAAAGAGAGTAAATTTCATAAAACTGCAAATATTTTGTACAGTCTATTATAAAACTACATATTTAAGAACTTTTCCACAAAATTAAAGATTCAGTGGCTTCATTTATCACAAAACTACAGGTACTTTGCACAATATATCACAAACTACAGATTTAAGTACTTTTATAATAAAACTACATATTTAATATCTTCATTTATCACAAAACTACAAGTTTAGTGTCTTCATTATCACAAAACTACAAGTTTGAGCATTGTTAAAAACATGTAGTTTTGTGATAATAGAGACAATAAATCTGTAGTTTCGTGATAAATGAAGACACTGAATGTGTAGTTTTGTGATAAACAAATACACGAAATCTATAGTTTTGTGAAATAAATTCTTAAATCTATAGTTTTGAGATAGATTGTACAAAGTACCTATAATTTTATAATAAACGGAGACACTAAATCTGTAGTTTTGTGAAAGCTCTTAAATCTTTAGTTTTATGATAAATTGTACAAAATACATATAGTTTTGTGAAATTTACTTAAAAAAAAACGTCACTACCTGCAAGACATTTTCTTTTATCTTTCTCATTACACAGTAGGCATCGTTTGCCAAGTACTGTTTGTTAGGCAGTAAGCAGTACTTTAGTTCAGTGTTAGATCAATGTGTACACTTGAATTCAACTGGTGTGACACTGTATGTCTTAAAGTCTTAACAATGCTAGCAAATTTTGAATGATTAGAAGCCTACAAGGATATCAGACAAACAGATCTACAGTGTATACCCTACATGATCTACCTCAAGTTAGCACTGTTCTTCAATTTTCCGAGCTCGTGGTATACCACACAAAGAAATGTTCATATTTTCCTAGTCGGATTTAGTGCTGAGACTTGGAAAGCTTGACTACAGGATTTGGAGACTCCTCAGCGTTCCTCTTCTTGGATTGACCAGCTAATCTCTTGACATAAGAAATGTAAGCGTCAACATCGAATTTTCTCTTGCAGCCAGCGTAATTCATGTAACGTATCTTTCCAAATACTGGACGCTCCTTCCAACCCTGAGAAAACAGCAGTGGTGTAAGGAATACTCGCTTCTAGAATGTCACCAACAATCTAATGCTTGTGAAAAGCAAAATTGTTTTTCCCTGTGAAGTGAGAAGTGATAACACAATGACCTGATCATGGAGGCCACATATGGACCACATACATCCGACGTAACCACTGGGGTCCCTGCCATCTATCTCATACTGCCACAAGATTGATTTGTAAGACTTTGTTGAAAAGCATAAATAAAATCCGTAGAAGTACTTCAATGCAAACAACTACTCCTATTAAAGAACGAGAACAATCCAGCTGGGGAAAGAATTGTAGGTTCAACTATGAAAATATCTTCGAGCAATTTCACATTCCTGAAAATTTATTTCCCCAGTTACTGTTTTGTATCTTTCTTCTGACAGGTAACCAAGAAAAAGGATAGTCCAGCTTATCCGAGGCGACCGTGAAGCTGATTTATTGTCTGGTTGTCCCTAGAAGGATGATGTTTTTAACTTAAGGGAAGATAAGATAATGAAAAGAGCACCAACCATACAATTTTCTGCCTTACATGAAAAGAATGTCAAATTATATATTTCTTAATTTGATAAATGTGACTCCAACTTTTCGGTTATCGGCGCAGGAACTAATTTAAGCATGGGCAGACTCTTCCAAGTTGCTATTCAATTACAATTTTTCATGTGAGCAGTTTCTTTATCATGTTCCATGTTTCTTTATCATGTTCCATGTGTTGAAATATAGCTATTTTAACTACAACTAGCAAAACTATAAAAAGGACAAATTCAAAATAACACAACTGTATTTCCCAAACATGTGTATAGGTCTTACCTTGTCATTTAAATAAATTGCAGTTGAAAGTGCTTCTTCTGGTCCACTAGTCCATTCTAGAATCTTTTTGGCCCAGTACATTCTACAGACAACTACTACATTAGGAAAGGAAAAAGTCCTTACAGGCACTGTTACCTTCAGAACTAAGAATCAATTAGATATAACATCATTCTTTGATGTTCGCCAAAACAACTTACTTTTCTTTCTTTCCAGATCCAAAACAAAAGTTGAACAAAAATAGTGTAAAAGGTTTGCCCAGAATCAAAGAGAATTATGTGCACCAAAGGCTTGCTACCAGACATATCACATAGATCATCATAAATTTATTGGAACTACACAAACTCTACAGAAAACTAATTTTTTAAGGAATGCTTTTTTTCAAATAACTTCATATTTTCTGACATAGGATAAAGTAAACCACAACGTCAGAAAATTCCCATCTATCCAACAAAGCAAACTAATCAGTTATGTCAGCAAAGATGGGGTGGGGGCAATCCAATGCCTTTAGGTTAGCACCACACCATCAGTATGATGGGTAAAATAACCATATGTTGTCAACAAGTGGGCCAATAGGTTATGGGCAACTAACTAGAATGTGCCATGGGTACAGAAGAAATATAACAAGCAGTTTCATAAAAAAAAAACTGTTCAATAAACATTTTATAATTGCGTGATTTTGTAAGAGTCTGGTCATGATATATTACCTCATGAATCCATGCATTTTTCCATGGTGAACCATCTCCAACTGCGATGCATTCCACAACTGATAATCATTTAGAAAAAAAATAACTCAGTGTGTTAGAGTAACTTCAATATCAGCAACAGAGTACACCACGTCCAATAGCACTTACAGGATCATGTGTTTTGGCATTCTCAAGCTGTTCCCTCCTAGCCAAAACAAAATGACAATTAACAAATAACCAATTAGAGCGAAGATCTTTTACCTTAACATCGTCAGGAAGATAATTTGGTTAAAATTGTGACAATAAATTATAAAGGGCAACTTACTCACGTATAGATATGCTCTCTTTTATCAGCAGCATGATCCATCAGTGTCTTCCTTGCCCATTCCCATGCACCAGACAGCGAATCATATTGAGGTTGGTAATAGCAGAAGTTGTCAGCTAATTCCCTCCTTACAACCAATTCCTCCAAGAAAGCATCGACGGACTGTTTCAGAACACATGTTACTTCAAACATCTATTAGGTAAACAACATCACTAAGAATTCTAGCCAGTTCACGGTAAAGAAAAACAATGCCATCTAACAATTTATTACATTGCAAGAGGATCATAACTCTTTTAATCATAACAAATCAGTTAAAGAACAGCACCTTGGGACTAAGATGTCGGCATTTCTTTGCCTCGAGCGCACACCGCTGTGCCGAAATGTGCCCAAAATGAAGGTATGGTGAAAGCCCAGACAATGCCCGTGGTTTCGTGGGATCATTCCGGTCAGTTTCATAGCTCTTGATCCTCTTCGTCAGGAATCCATCCTTGCTGCCGAGAAGCGCCTCTATGGCTGCTTCCTCTCCAGGCTCACACCAGTCAATCTCCGGCACATTCTCCGCCTCACTGCTCAAACAACCAAGAATCAATAGTCATCCATATCTACACAAACAAAATTACCACCCAATACACCTTAGAATTATCATCCGCACCTGCAAACCCTGGCGATGAGTGCGTCCCAGTCGACCCCCTCCGGCTGCTCCCTGTCCCATGGCACCACCGCCGGCAATTCAGGGAACTCCACAAGGTACTCATCCATCACCTTGCTCACCTTGCCTCTGAAGGTCTTGGCTGAATACTCCATCTTCGCCGACGCCGTCCACACAGGCACCACGTTGTGCGCGTCCACCTGCATTCGAAGAATTCCACAAGAATCTCTAAATTCTCCGGCGAATTCATTATCCATCCCCAAAAAGATTCCCAACTTTCTTGGAAGATTGATGCAAACAGCAATGCCACCACGCTCACCTGGTGCACGGCCACGCCGGGCGCCTCCCGCCGCAGGTCGCCGACCACCGCGTCGAGCGCCTCCCTCACCGGCCGCAGCGGCGAGAAGTCGGCGACCAGCGTCGACGCACCAAGGCGCCGCACCAGCGCCGGGATCTCCGCGGGCCCACCTGTCAGCGAGCCAGAGAAAAAGCCACGTCACATTTCGCAAGACGGGGTGGCCCACATGTCATCGTCACGGATGGAGACAAAAGAAAAAGAAAAAGAAAAAGAAAAAGAAAAGGGCGCGTACCGGTGAAGAGGAAGAAGGGGAGGTGGCGGGCGGCGGCGTCGGCGGCGAGGCGGCGGAGGCCGCGGAGGAGGAACCCGAGCTGGCGGCGGCGGGCGGAGAGGAGGAAGGGCCTCGGGAACAGCGCGAACGCGACGGCGAGCGGGGACGCGGAGGCGGCGGCGAGGCCGGCGGCGTGGAGGAGCGCCCAGTTGTCGGCGAGCCGCTGGTCCCGCAGCATCCAGTACACCACCGGCCCACCGGGCTTCCCGCCGCCCGGGTGGATCACCCGCACGCGGGACGGGTGTGCCGGGCTCGGGTTCGCCGGCCCCGGCGCTGTTCTTGGTGGGCTCACTGAGGTCGGCGGCATCGTGCGGCGCGGTGGGTCGCCGGCGTGCGGCGGGCGGCGACGGAGGTCTCTGAGCGCGCGCGCGCGCGTGCGGGCGTGCGTTTGTGGGTGTGAATTGGGTGCGCCCGGTGCAGGAGAGCCGGGAGTGTGGTAGGTGAAACGGCGGGGGTATGGGGGTTGGTGGTGTATGGACCAGTTGTTGGGAAGGAGACTGCGAGGGGGCGGGAGTTACGGTGGTGGGAGAAGCCACGTCGTCACGAGGCCCCCGGGTCCCTTTTTTTTTTTAAGAAAAAAAAGCCGCCCGGATCAGTTGTGGGCTAACTGGATTGAAGGCTTGAAGCTCTGGCGTGTTTGGTTACCTTGATTGAAGCTAATTTTTATCTTTATCAATTCTTTTGCTAGTATAACTTGGGTATTTGGCTAACCGTTTTTTTTTTCACCTCAGAACCAATTCTATACTATCAAATTTAAATTTGCTAGTGCTAAAATTTGATAGATTTCGTACACAAAGATCTTATCCTATAGGCCATGTAGGTTTGGTTTATGGGCTTTTTTGTTTGAAATCAATTTTTGTTGTATCAATTTTTTGGTAGTGCTAGCATGGCCTGTAGGGATAAGCTCTACATGTACGAAAATCGTCTGACTAGCAAGACAAGAGGGAATTGCTCAAATTGAGCTTCACTTCTCACCTGACTAAGTGCATGCAGTTGCGTGGACGAACGTCGGGATGCGAGGTTGTAAATGGTGAGCGAGGCGGGGATGCATCCCACCTCCCTTATTTGCTTCCTTGACTCCTCTTGAGTCGTCGTTGTAGTCTCCTCTCCGTTGCTGCACGATCGTCGTAGGCATCGCCATTGCCGTCAATGCTCGCCCAGCCTTCTAGCTGCCCGAGCTTGAAGGGACCATTGCCTGCTTTGGTGGCTACAACGTGCAGTGCTGAGCTCGCAGATCGTAGATCTGGGCTACTCCAAGCTTACCTTTGCCGGATCTAGCTGTGAGAAGCAACGATAGGTGGGGAGAAGGAGCAGTGAGCGGGCATGAGTGGTTGACAATTTAGCGGTTTTCACTTTGATGATTACTACTGTAATGATGTTTGTATTTTCAAATTAGCTATTGAGATATGGGAATTTTGAGAAAATCCAAGGAGTATTTTCAGGCATGGAGAATTTAAGAAAAGTAACACTAACCATGATTTATTAAGGAAATTTTATTTCCCTTATTTACTTCACTTGTCAATAAATTTACACATGAATATAAATTCTAAAAATGGTTTATTAGATAAGTTTAAATCCTTGAAAAAAAATCAAGGCGTGACAATCGCCCGCACGAGGGACGGCTAGGCCGGGCTCGGGTTCATTGGCCCAATGTTATTTTTGGGCTCACTGTGCTTGGATGAGTGATGCAGCGAGTAGGAAACGGAGAAAGCGGTATCTCTCTCCACGTCTCTGCAAAAGAGAATTTAATTATTTGCCACCCTTGCCAATTCTTCAAATGCCACATTTGCCTTTATTCATAAATTTTTGCCAATGGAAAAGCATCCATAGTCCCTTGCCACTTTTCCCACGTGACATGACATGTCCGACTACCATCATGAAAGCTAGAGGAGAAATATCCTTCTTGCCTCTAGTCGTACCACCTCTTCCTTCTATCTCCTATTGACGCTCATGGACTAAGACGTAGTGCTTGTCAAATTCACCTCACTGTCACCCTCCTTCTCCAGTGCACCCCCCTTGGCCAAGTGACACCATCCAACAGCATGGCCTGGGCAGCATCGAGGCCATCCTTCATCATATTTCTCACACCCATGATACAACCTCATCTATTGCCCTGGCAAAGCATAGCGTAGCCCTAGCCATAGACGATGGCGGACTTGAGCATCTGGAGTGCCTTGGCGGATGCGTCGGGATCCACCTTCGTGAACTGAATGATTTGACAACTTGTTGGCCACCTCCCTTTCCTCGCCAACGATATTGGTGACCAAGAACTCGACCATCCTGGTAGCATCGATTCTCTCCGCCAGCCACTCCCTCCCAGCGAAACGGGTGATCTCAGCACCGAGCTTTGTAGCTCGAAGTGAGCACATGTGTGCAATAAATATAATGGTGTAATTGAATCTCAACATATGAATAATTAACTAGGAGAAAGAACCATTTGAAGATTACTACTCCCTCCCTTTCAGACTATAAGTCATTTTGACTTTGGTCAAAGTTAAACTGCTCTAAGTTTAACTAAGTTTGTAGAAAATAATAATAATATTTTTAACCCAAGAAAAATATATTATGAAAATATATTCAATTATAGATTTAAATGAACTAATTTGGTGTTGTAAATATTAATATATTTATCTATAAAAACTAGCAAAATACCCGTGCGTTGCACCGGGTATTGAAGGGTGGCTGAAGTTTGATATTTACGATTTATCCAAAGCACACGAGATGATTATAAGCATCGGCGATATGAACAATTATAAAAAGATTATGTTTGTTTTTGATAATTAATTCTTTATATTTGCACGATGTGGATGACGCTTCTTACGTGTGTGGGCCTGATGGTAATGGCGAGGATCGAGTGGTGAACAAATTAATGCGTCTCCTTTTGCATAGAAGGTGACACATGTAAATTTATGTGATGAATAGAAAAATCAATATATTTTTAGTACCTTAACGAAAAATGAATGGAATTGATTAAGGGAACATTCGAGTTCATGACACAAGGACTTGTGAGAGCTGATGGAACATCTGAATCATAAAAATTGATGTCATTATTTTTTTACGAAAAGTCCGAATTACACCCTGAAACTATTGGGTGAGCGAAGTACCCCCTAAACCCAAAAACCAGATATTTTTTACCCTCAGCTATTAATACCGGACGAATTACCCCCCCACCCCCCACTCAAGCCGAAGTGGTTTTGATCCTACGTGGCAGTCCAATCAGTAATTTTTTTAAAAAAAATCGGCGGGTCCCACCTATTAGTCTCTCACCCTCTATATCTCTTTCTCCTCCCCTCTCTCTCTTTCCCTAATCCCCTCTCTTCTTATTCCTTCCCTCACCTCCATCTCTCTCGGCGGCCGATGGGGGCGGGCCGACGACGACCTGCCACGTCTACCTAGTGCGATTCGAGGCGGATGCGGTGGTGAACCGCCCCCCTGCAGCCACATCTTGCATCACGCCTACCTCGAGACATGGCTCGACTAAGACCATGCCACTTGCCTCGCTCTGTCACTCCCGCCTCCTCACTGTCGTTGGCCACTGCCTTGGCCCTCCGCCGCGAGACGCACGCAGCCGCTGACGCGTCTCCTCCTTGGCATCTGACAAGAGAGAGAGGGGTCTGAGGGGCGAAATAGATAATGAGGAGCGAAATAGATAATGAGGAGAGAGATCTAAAGGTGGGCCCTATCGACTTTTTAATAAAAGAATTATTGACTAGACTACCACGTAGGATCAAAACCGCTTACAAAGCTACCCGTGGTGGTTTTTCATCTAGTATTGATAGTTAAGGGTGAAAGATGTCTGGATTTTAGGTCTAGAGAGGTAAGTCGTACTCACCCAAAAGTTCAGGGGTGTAATTCAAACTTTTCCTTTTTTTTCTTAGGTAGTATTGTGTTTTATTTGTAAATTTCATTTGAAGTGAAATATCAATAAATATAGGGTAATTTTTATACTTGGGGAAAAATGGAAGCCAAACAGACCGGAAGAAAAAAAATACATAAAAAAAAATAAAAGCTGAGCCGACGGGAAGTGGAAAAAAGGAAAGCAGAAGAAATCTCTCGTTTATTCCAATCTTCTCAGTCTCTCTATTCCCCACGCTTGCACTGTGAAAGGCCTTATCCTTTTCCCTTTTAGGGCCCTTTGAATCGTATGAATGAAAAAACACAGGAATAGAAAAAACACAGGATTCTGACATGAATACAATTATAAAACAGAGGATTGCAAAATACAGAAAAAACACAGGAATGGCCGTTTGATTGGACCACAGGAAAAACGCAGGAATAAGATAAGAGAGATAGACTCAGAGAAAATGGCCGTTTGATTGGATCACAGGAAAAACGCAGGAATAAGATAAGAGAGATAGACTCAGAGAAAATGTTCCAAGAGGTTAGATCTCTTGCTAACTTTCCTCCAAAATATACATAGGATTACCCATTCCATAAAAATTTTAAAGGATTAGATAGGATACAATCTTTTGTTTCAAAGACCTTCGTAGGATTTTTTTTTCATAGAATTGAAATCCTCCAAAATTTCTACATTTTTTCTATAAATCAAAATGCCCCTTACTTTCTCCATCGACAGCTCTATCCCAGGAAGCCACAAAGCCAGCTAGCACCACCATGATTTTGCCTCCCTCTCGAACAGTTCCATAGCGAGGTGATGGTTTCCTTTTCCATTTTACTTTTCTCTTTCTAGGATTTATGGTGCTTGGTGAACAGTGTGTCCCCTTGTTGGCGACGTTGGATATGGAAGTGAGGGGTCAGAGGAGGAGCATGCTGCCCATCTCCGCCGGATCTGGACTCCCCTCTGCGGTGACCTCTCTCCCCAGGCGGCAGCGTTCGGATCAGCCCCTCAGCAGACGTGAGGCGCGAGCCATCGGCAGAGGGCTCCATGGCGGCGGTGTCCTGGCCTCCTAGGGGTCGGCGGAGTGGCCTCGGTGACGGCGTATCTTGTGCCGCTGGCACTCACCTCTCCCTCGCCATCTTCCTAGCCTCCGCCACCACTGCCCCTCCTCGTCGGACGACGAGCTTGATGGTGGCGGCGCAAGAGCAAGCCAGGGTCAGTCGTTCCTTACACCCCTTGCCTTTGCCCCCCACTCGCCAGATGGCGAGCTAGATGGTGCCGGCGCCCCTGCTCTCCTTTCTTGGCCGGCCATGAGGTGGGGTGGCAGATTGGAAGAAGGGGGCGACAACCTCGACGACGGCTGCACACATCAGCGGTGGAGCGGATCTAGAGTGGCCACGGTGAGTTCATCGTTGCAATAATGCAATCTTCTCTTCCTTGCTGACCGGCGCCCACAATCCCCCTGCCGTTCTATGCTCTCTTCAGCCCCTGAACCGCCAGAACCCTCTTCTTCCTTCTTGCTGGATCTGCGCTTCACGCGGCTTCGATCTGACCAATTGAGTCTTCCTCGATTGGTTGTTGTAGTAATCTAGTGGAATCCTTCTTGTATTTATGAGGTTTATTTCATCCCCCTTTTTAGTCCAAATTGAATCTGTAGTAATCGTTTTGGTTCTAGTAATCTCTTTCGTGTTGAACATGGTATCTGCCCTCTCTGTCTTTGTTCGATCGTAATGGCGCGAGCGATAGGCGACGGACTCAAATTTTGTGCAAACTACAGCCGTACTACTGCAACCAATTTTTTTTTCTCTTACGATGTAATATCTGATCACATGGTTTCCTGCTTTGTTTTGGTTGCAATGTGCATGCCTGATTGGTCATCTGTTTAGGAACACTCAATTCTGACATGTACCAATGTAGCACCAAAAAAAAAAAAATCAAACCTTAGTTTGCTATATGCCATGATGCTTTTATTTGATTTAAAGAAACTTTGTTTTGATATGTGATGGATATTTTTTCTTACTTGCATTTGTTTCCATGATGCAGGGACAGTATAGCGATATTGGAACCAAGGACTATACATCTAAATTATCAGTGTACTGAGGTTCATGATAGTGCTCTGCTGAAGAATGTGGAGATTATTGCAAAAAGACTCACTAATGCATCCGTGATTTAAGGTACTTCTGGTAGCATTGGAGTCTATAAAATTTCCCTACACATCTTTGATTTAAAATATTTTGCTTTATGCATGTGTATAGAATTGGAGCCTTTCTCAACAATAATATAAGCTTATGAACATGAAATTCTGAAAGATCATCAAGATATATCTTTCTTAATCTAAAGAGTTATGATGATCAGGTCAATTTTTTTTTCAGAATTAAGTTTAGTTGCATGGCTAAATTGGAACCTATTGTACTTGCTATGCCCCGTTGTAATGCTTTGGAATTTTTAAGAGCTCCATACTGATGTCTGCTGATCTGGATTGGTATAAGTGTTGGCTATGACATTGTTTTCAGGCAATTGGCAATGTCGTGCTGCATTGTGAACCTTCTTCTTATCACCCTTTGATGGGTTGGAGGTATAGAATCGAGATGATTGCCAAAAATATTCCGGTAATTACTGCCAATAAATAAGAATAAAAGCAGAGCGGACATAAGGTAAAAAGAAAGCAGAAAGACATTCATCTAGTCGTGTTGTATTTACTTGGTTTTTAGAGCATGATAAACATTAAGGTTCTTAGAGCATGATAAAAAATTGCAATAATTAAACGATGGTTCATCTGTCTGCACAGTTAATGTTTTTCTGCATAAAATTGCTCTTGCTGCAATTACCAATACTTTTTCTTTCTTCTAGTAATATATAAAGCCACTTAAAAAAGAGATTTTCATGTTTGGGTTTGCAACTCCTAGATTTTGTGGTGGTATGTTATGAAAATAGCCGCTGAGCAACTGAAATGAAAATATGCCTGTTGCTAACTTGCTATATGTTTCTGCATGGACAGAAAAAAGACCTTGGGTAGTTTTATTCAATATTAATCTTATAAATCTAATGAAATTGAAATTGCATTCAGGGTTGAGTTCATTGATAACCTGGAATCGACATTAATTGGAGGTGGCTTGACATCCTAGAGGAAGAAGAGCCTTGTGATCTATATCTTCTTGTGCGCTTCTATTATTTGTATTGCCTGTAATCATATTTGTGTATTTTGTCCTGCGAGAAAAATCTATAAAATCACGTTAGTGGGAGTGCTAGCTAAATATAGCGGAAACAAAAGCGGGATAGAATCTGACTCGGGATAGAATCGGGATAGAATCTAACTCCTGACTTGGGCTGCGCAAACAGGAGCAGGAAAAGGTGTGGGCGAACCAACCTGACTCGTATGCGATATTGTTTTCTTGCGTGAACCTGGTAAACCTGGACTCTGTTTTTTTGTATGTATATTTTGTGTGTGAACTGGACTCCTGTGTTTTTTGTGCGTGAACCTGGACTACTGTGTTTCTGTGCGTGAACATGGTGAACATGGATTCCTGTGGTTTTTTTCTTTTGTATATAAAAAACCGGGCCCATCAGAATCAACGGTTGGAAAAAAACCGGGCCCACAAAAAAATTGGACGCGGTGGGGAATATCCGGGCCCACCAAAAAACAATCGGACAAAAAAATCGGACAAAAACCACACGTAAAAAAACCGGAATCTGATAAAAACCGGCCAAAAAAACCGCGCGTGAGAAAAATACCGCGTGTGAAAAAAAATTGACGGACGAAAAAACCCTACCGAAAGCCTTACTTATTTTTTTAAGTAGGTATATTTTAAGTAGGTATATAGATTGATTAAATTTGAAGTAGTTTGATTTTGACCAAATTCAAAATGAACTTATAACGAAAAACGGAGGGAGTATTCAATTGCACAAGTATGTATACTGATTGCTGCATGCAAGCATCCGACTGACACTCATACGTACAGAGGAGATAGATATCGGCAGGAGCTTGCCGTTGGGCGAAATATTAAGCTGGGCAGCAATATTGGTATTGTTTCGAAAAAAAAAACATTTTACTAGTGTGGCTGTGGGCTGTGGCCGAGGCCCGTACAGAACGGCCCAAGCGCCCGCCTGTGGCTGAGATTTCTTAAACCCTAGACGTTCAGCAATCTCATACTCCCCCAAAGTATGAGATTTCTTCTCACTTCTCCGACCTTGCACCCGCCTCAGCTGATCAGGTCCGCCTCATCATCTTCTTCTTTTTTGATCGAGAGCCAATAATTTACTCTTCTTTTGCTTTATCTTTATTATCTTATCTGAGGTATTTATTTGCTTGGGTTTTTATGATGCCATCTTGGGCGATTCGACCGCAGGACGAGGTACTCCTCCTTCCTTCCTCACAAAGTCACAATTGTTTCCGATCCAAAGTTTGAGTTTCGGTTGATTGAAAGACGATGAGCCTCCCGCGGCGGTTTCTGAATCTGATCGTGGAGAACGGGGCGGATCCTGGCATCAGATCACTTAGCTGCATCGACTTGACACGCTACCCACTCTTTCACCCACCGTTACCAACGGCAACAACAATGGAAGCGTGCAGCAGCAGCAGCATTATTTCGCAGCAACAACAGACTGCTGATGCCTTCAATACGAAGAACAAACATGCGGATGGGGCAGCGTTTATGGTGCAGGAGAAGTTCCAGCTTCCCGACCCAATCTTCAGCTTCAAAGCTCAAGCGGCTGATCCTGATTACGGGTGGAATATCGACTGCTTCCCGCTTGCAGATCGCAAGGTTGTCTGCGTGGACCAGTCTGGCCGCGCATTCCTCTTCGACGCCGACACAGACCAGGTGGTGACAATGCCAAGCCTCAACAAACCCAAGTGGAGGCCCTTCTCCCTCTTCGTCCCCGGCACGGACAACGACGGCGGCGATGGTGAAGGCAACAGTCTCTACATCATGGAGAAAAGCCCCAAATCAGAGGCGGGGTGTAGCGCGCGGTGCATCGATCAGTTCGAGGCCTTTGTCTACCGCAAGCCCACGGTGACAGCGTCGTTCATGTCGTGGTACTGCCAGCTGCTCCCGCCACCGCCATACGTCCGCGATTACGCCTACAGCCAGAGACGCCATCGAATCACATCCTATGCCGTGGTTGCCGGCGATGACGACGGTTCGTGGCGCATCCTCGTATCGGCTGAGGACGCAGGAACCTACTGTTTGGACGTGGCCAGCAACATGTGGAGTCGAGTGGGCGAGTGGACGCTACCCTTCTTGGGCAAGGTCGAGTATGTTCCCGAGCTCAAGCTCTGGTTTGGCCTCTCTGCCGAGGACCAGCTGTTGGCTGCTGCTGATCTGTCAGCCATGGATTCCCAGCCAGAGCTAGTTAGCAGTTGGAAGGAACTTGAACAAAACAGGGTATGGCAGGTAACACAGGATCCTCAACTTGTTAACCTGGGCTCAGGCAGGTTCTGCATCGCAAGGTTCATTGAAAAACTGGAGTTGGGTGGCGATTTTGACAATAAATTGACTTGGCAGGATTTTGTAATCTTGACCGGTGTGGAGGTAACCAAGGTTGTGAATCACGGCAATTGCAGCGGAAACAGAAATGGGAGAGTGGAGCTTCAAATGACCACGCACAAGTCGCGATTTCACTTGGCTAATGGGGCTTACATTGATGCTGTGTTCTGAATAATGTTGGGGTTTTGTTTTCAAGACTCCCTGTTCTATCCGTTAGGTGTATCATCAGAATATTTTTGCGATTTGATTGTCAGAAACAACTATATTATTGTGACTTAATTGTCATAAACAACTCAGAATCATGTAGATTTCGGACTTGGACATGAATGTCTCCGTCTATTTTGTCTTTAGAATGAAAAACATTACTTCCTCCATTTCAAATTACTTGTTTTAACTCTATCCTAAGCCAATTTTCTTTTATTTTGCTTATCTTTCTTATCTGTGGTATTTATTTGCTAGGCTTTTGTAATGCTATCCTGGACTCTTAGATTTGAAGGTACCTCCTCAGGCTGAACTGTGGAGATCATGGGTACCACATATCCACTCAGCCTACGTATCCAATTGGAAATAGGAGGTGGGTTGGACCCATAGCATTATGTAATGGTCTTGGGCTTGAGAATAATGTTGGCTTGTATCATGCGGCATAGCCCATAGGTTTTGTTAGGTTATCATATAATAGATTAGAAAACTGATGCCGTGTTCAAATAGGTTTCTTCTCTGTAAATCTACCCCGAACCTATACAAGTGAGCAAGGAGCTCTCCGAGGACATAACCATAACTCGATCGCCAAATCAATACAACATCCGGCGGATACAATCCTCAAATAGGAGTAGGGTATTACCTCATTGAGAGTGCCTGAACATGTCTAAATCCTTATCTTCTTTATTCATCCACTTTTAGATCTCGTGCGCTGCTCCCTTTTGTTATTGCCGATCTCTATTTCCAATTTTTCTTTTCTTAAAATCATGTGGATAAGGTTTAAATGGGCCTTTAAGAACATATGCTCTCCGAACTGCATCTTGATCATTGACAAGATAACTTACAATGGGTAGTCTTTCCTCTTGATCATGTGGAAGGCTGTCAATGTCATAAACCGGCGGCGGTGGTGGTGAGACATCTTCTCAACGTCTTGTTCCTGAGTGTGCTCCTATACCACAACTGGGGAAGAAGGCAATTTAGAACTATTTTTCTTTGCTGCATGTTTCAACAATTAGCGATCTACAATATAGCGGAGAGTGGACTCGTAGTCTCGTCACGCTAGCCACTCGGCTTCGCGAGCGGTGGCCGGTGATAGGCGGGTGGCGGCGGCAGCCGGCGCTCGTGGAGTCGCAGTCCTCCGTCCTCTGCTCCTCTCCACATGGACTTGCTGTTGCAAATGCGGGTGGCAGGAGGCAGCGCGAAAAACGAGTAGTCAAGTGAGGAGAGGACGCGTAGCAATCGTGTGATGCTGCGCGCGACGTTTCGGTTTCCAATTCCAGGTTCATGCGCTTTTTTTCTATTATTTTTTCTATATATAGTTGGGTCGGTTGCCTTATTTTTTGTGTGGTCCCACCGGGACCACCCCACAGATTGGTAAACCTAGGCCGTCTGTTACACCACTGCCCAGAGGTGGATTAGGCCGAACGCACGGCGTTCCCAAGGGCTATGAGCGGATGGCAGCCTAGAAATCCCTAGGGGGGGGGGACATAGTGGATCCTGCCCGCTGACAGGATTAGCTAGCATCTGATCTACTCAACAATGTGGTAGTAGCACAGCAACTAGGGCTTAGACCATCATGGGTGTTTGCACGGTTCTCTTGGTTTTGTCCCTCTATCATACTATATAAAGGGCCGAGGGTTCCCCATGAAGGGGTTGAAAACATTTGAAGACAGACTCTCGAGTTATGTAGGAAAAATGATTTGGGTTTGTATATCCCTAGTTTATTCAATCCAAAAAAAGGAAATGTAGGAGTAGGATTGTTATCCTCAGGGAGGCCCGAAACTGGGTAGAAACTTGTGAGTTTTGCATGATCTAGAGGAGAGCAAGCAAATCAAAGCCTCAAACCCACTCCACCAAACACTGGTTTCACTAGATTTTGTACTGTCAGGCACAGTTCGTCGACACTGTTGCTGCACTAATTGTATCAAGTTGGGAAGAAGTTGTACTCGTAATATGATTTCTGTTGGATGCAGGTTAGTGAACCTTTCGACCTGCCTGCCGAAGCACCAAGGAACCAGAGAACCAGCATGGAGCAGAGCAAAGAGAGGATAAGCAAAGCGAAGCGAAGTGAGCCGGAGCAGGGCAACGATGGGTGAATCGTCTCAAGCGAGGACGAAGCACCTCAGACAACAAAGCAGGATAAGCTTCGCAAAAAAAAAAGAACAGAATAAGGTCCCCAAGGCCTAGTTGGCAACCCAAGATTATCCCAATAAGGCTAGTAGGCCGGTTAGGTAGGCTAAAGAATAGGATACCCTATAAACATCCTTATCAAGGGGATAATAATGTGGAAACACTTGCATGCCAAACCTTAGGGTTTGCAAACCCAGTTATCGACCTATAAATATCCCCTAGGGGGTGTGCAGTGGGGGAGCTAATTTTGAAGAAATTAATACACAACCACTATTTTCCTTTTCCACTCTTCAAGTGAAGCCTGCCTTTCGGCAGAAGTGGTTGTTTTTCGACAACAATTTCATTGCTGTTAATGTGCAGGCATTGATTAAGGCTGAAGGAGCAATGTCGGTGATGGAATTAGAATTGAACCTAGTGGGAGTTGGGGTCTAGACAATCAACGATGTTATGTGGGATGCTCAGGCTAAAGAACGATGCATGAAGAATCACTACTAGAAAAAGCATTTTTGCCGTTGTTGGGTATTTTTTTCGTAGGCAGGTATGGTCATCGGAGAAAAACTCCGCCGGCGAAAATGAGTACCGGGGAGGAGTTAGCGGTCCGTCTGTGAAGATAGGTTATGGCAGGCGGAGCACATAAGACGCCGCCTGCAAGAATCATCTTTGCAGGTCGTGGGATACCCGGTACCCATGTTTATGACATTTAATTATGAGAGAATGACGACCATTTATCGATGTGGAGATTATGGGTACCCCATACCCACACGGCATGGTTATCTGACTAGTTATAGGGGATAACTTATATCTATGGAATATGTAACAGATCATGACTTGGGTATTACGTTTCCTTGTATATTACGGAACGGCCTAAAGTCCTGGTTTGATAATATTGGAAACCGATACCGTATTGGTTAAGGTTTCTATCTTGTAATCCTGCCCTCCATCCTATATAAGGTGGGCAGGAGGCCCTCTAGGGGGCATGAGCACATATGATCGTCAGATCTATACTACACCTGGCGGATTCAAATCCCTAAACAGGAGTAGGGTATTACTTCTCATCGAGAGGGCCTGAACCTGTCTAAATCCTTTGTCTCCGCATCCATCCACTTTTAGGTCTCGTGTGCTACCCCTTTTATTATTGCTGAATTCATGTTTCAACAATCGATATCATATTTTTCTTTTAATCGCCGAATATCCGAAACATTACCAGTCTTAACCAATGTCGCAGTCATGAGTGATACATATTATTTTATTCGGTACATGATTCTAGTGACCACTCTGTCGATTATGAGATGAGGGGTGATTGTGCGGAAAACTAAGTTAATTGACTATCTCAGTGATCTAGATTAACAGCTGGACAATCACAAGCTAAATATATAAAAAAAAGGTATGCTGTAGGATTGGATCGATCAATATCGAGTTATATACTCCCTCCTTTCCTAAATGTTTAACGCCATTGACTTTTTAAACATGTTTGACTGTTCGTCTTATTCAAAAACTTTTGTGAAATGTGTAAAACTATATGTATACGTAAAAGTATACTTAACAATAAATCAAATGATAGGAAAAGAATTAATAATTACCTAAATTTTTTGAATAAGATGAACGGTCAAATATTTTTTAAAAAGTCAACGGCGTCAAATATTTTGAGATGGAGGGAGTATTAAGATATGTAAACTCCACAGCACTAGTTGATTCTCCTGAAACTCATTAATTTGAAAGGGAAGATTAAGCTCAATGCAGGAGTGCAGTGATTGTGCAGAAAAAATAATTTAACAACCCCAAGCCAGCTATGTTTGGACTACAATGATAGCTCGACGATCGCAAGCTGCATATGAAAATACGAATTAATGCTGAAATATTTGGGTACGGTATCGCATTCTAAACTAGTTTGCTCTACAATATTATATGTTAGTATTTATTAATTACATACTCTAATCTATAGTCTATCGTGAAAATAAGATACTATATATATTGAACATGGCAGGGATATTTTTCCTGTTATCTAAAAATAATAACGCGCGATGCAATGGAATTAATCATGATAGCAGCCAGGTACGTAGCAGCTCCTTCTAATATAATAAAGCTCGTGTAAAGATTTTGCTCATTTGATACTTTGCACGATGTTAGAGGACATGAAGTGGAAAAAGGGTCCTTGATCCAGACCACAGTAGCTGTGGATTGAATGGCAGACCCAACTTTAATTGTAAATTTAGAGTTTGGAAGATATGTCTTTTATAGTTCTCTTAATGTATGATTTTGTTCATGGCCATGTGATCAGGGTGTTACTACATATATTATGGTATTGAGTTATATATATATATTATATGTGGTCTATAGAAGAAAAATATTTCTATTTCATTTCATTAAACCCACGGAACATGTGACGATTTTTTGAGAATTTCTCTAAGCCATTTACTAATGCAGATAGAGTTCGTGGCTACCTAGTGCTAGGTAGCTGATATGCTTAGTATAAAAACACAGAGACAGCAGCAAGAGGCTCCATCCATAGACGCATCACATAATCTTCTATCTCTCTCAGGCTAACTAATTTCATAAGCACACATCTTCCATTTCCATCACCATGCCTGGAGCAGCTACCACCGCCGCCGTTGTTGACAGCCGCCGTAGCGCACAGCGCGCGGAAGGCCCCGCCACCATCATCGCCATCGGCACTGCAAACCCAGCTAATATTGTTCCTCAGGATAACTTTGCCGACTACTACTTCGGCCTAACCAAGAGCGAGCATCTTACTGAACTTAAGGACAAGATGAAGAGGATATGTAAGAAGATCGTTCAATCTACTTATCATATGACTATTATTAATTATTTTCCATTTACTTCAATCAGAAACAAGTTATGCAAGCTCTTACATTTCTAGCAATATCATGCCATGGTTCCTAAACCACACATATATTTATTCTATGTTGAAAAGAATGTAGGCTCTACGTGTCCTATATAGAGGTTAGATATATATGCCGCACTATCTAGTAATCAGAAATGAAGAGTATGATAATACTCGACTTTAGACACGCTTCATAAGTGTTTTTGCCATTTTGCAATCTAAGTGATAAATGCAGGTAAAAACCAAATTAATGGTCTTTGTCACGTTAAAAATCAGGCACGCACACCACAAGCACTTACCTATGAGTGAGGAGTTCCCACTTTTAATTAGATCTCAACAGAGGGAGTCACAACAATAATCTCTGGGTCTTACTAAATTTTTATTGAAATCTCACTAAATTGTTTATTATTGCTGGCCGGGACTAGGATTTAAATACTACATCATGAGACCATTGGTACTTCAACAAAACCATGTGCCAAGTCAATCTTTCCAAATTTTAAACATGTACAGCTTCCTAAATATTTGGAGAATACATACGAAAACAAATTGCGTGATTTTGTTCTGGAAAGAGCATTATAACATATATTTTAGTTTTGTAATTATTTGCAACAGAGATATAAATCTGCAATGATATGTTCTATATATTTTTTCTATCCTCAAGACTACTAGGTACAACCTAATTAATAGAGGCATTGGTTCTTCCTTTTAATTATAGGTAAAAAATCAGGCATAGAGAAGCGATACATCCACCTTGATGAGGAGATCATCCGTGCCCATCCAGAGATCATTGACAAACACCAGCCCTCCCTTGAAGCTCGTGTTGAAATCGCCGCCGCCGAGGTCCCAAAGCTCGCCGAGTCTGCTGCAAGGAAGGCCATTGCCAAGTGGGGCCGTCCAGCCACCGACATTACCCACCTCATCTTCAGCACCTACTCTGGATGTCGTGCCCCTAGCGCTGACCTCCAGCTGGCATCGCTCCTTGGCCTCCGTCCTTCTGTCTCCCGCACAATCCTCAGCCTCCACGGCTGCTCTGGCGGTGGCAGGGCGCTCCAACTCGCCAAGGAGCTTGCTGAGAACAACCGTGGTGCACGCGTCCTTGTAGCACTCTCAGAGCTAACCCTGGTATGTTTCTCCACCCCAGACGAAAGCAAAATTGTCGGACATGGACTGTTTGGGGATGGTGCCGGTGCAATAATCGTTGGCGCAGGCCCGTTTTCTGATGGCGAGTGCCCGTTGTTCGAGATGGTTGCTGCCTCACAGACCATGATACCAGGAACCGAGCACGCACTTGGCATGCAGGCCACTAGCACCGGCATAGATTTCCACCTCTCTGTCCAGGTGCCAATGCTGATCAAGGATAACATCCAGCAGAGCTTGCTCGAATCCTTCCAATCGGTCGGATACACAGATCCTGACTGGAACAATCTCTTCTGGGCGGTGCACCCCGGCGGCCGTGCTATCCTTGACAACATAGAGGGCAAGCTACAGTTGCAACCATGGAAGCTTGCAGCAAGCCGGCAAGTGCTACGCGAGTTTGGGAACATGAGTGGTGCAACTATTGCATTCGTTCTTGATGAACTATGCCACCGTCGGGAGAAGGACGAAGATGAGTCACAGCAGCATGAATGGGGAGTGATGCTGGCCTTTGGACCAGGGATCACAATTGAGACAATTGTTATGCGCAACCCATTGGCACGTGGTCTTAAGCAAAATTAGTTACCACTGTCATGAAAATAATGCAATCGGAATCATCTGATGCTTCGATATTTCACTACACTATGGAAATTAATTAATGGGTGACACTGAATCAATTGTTTATGCATGCTTAAGTATTCTCAACTCTACTACATGTTGTAAATAAACTTTTATCACTTCCATGTGTCCTCTGATTCATAAGCTTTATTGATTTGTAACAAAATTTGGAATACCCTGTGTCATGTGTATGTATAATTAAAATACTACCTCTGCCAATGCCCTGGTAATAAAAAGAACAATAATTACAACACAGGTTACAACATCGGAATTTATAAAATATTTATGCTGAAGTTTGTACCCATGATTGCCTAATGGGTTTGTCTTCCTCCTTTATCATTCGAGAACTTTTACGGTGTTTGCATTCCAAAAGGGTAAAGATCCAACAGTTCTCAATCACAGGTACTATGTAAAGGTATTTAAATATTAGTATAGATACTTAGGTACTAAGGATAAAAATATAATTTTGTTAATAGAGAAAAAGGGTAAAATTGTCCCTCCCCCCAAATTATAATAGGTACCACGTAGGTACGACTGTACGAGTTAACATCTACCTGGTACCACATGTTCTTATTTGCGTCTCTTTTGTGTGATTTCCTGTAGATTTACGTTGTGTTTGAGTTAGGTCATTTACCTGGCACTAGTGTAACATGTTCTTAATTCATTTTCTCTAGATTTACTTTTTTGTATTCTTTGATGTTCTCTTTTGCGTGATTTTTTTAGATTTACATATTGTGTTCTTATAACATGTTTCTGGCCTTGGGCTAGCAATTGGTGACGAATGTACTCGAAATCCATATAATTTTCATTTTCGTCATCCATGAAAGCCTCATTTTCATCACCAATCCCAGCTTCAGTAGTATCCATGTCATCCTCATTTAGGTCATTTGCTTGCTCATGAACTAGTTCCCGCAAGACCAACAAAGCAGATGGAGTTATAAAGAGAGGACCTTTCCGTAGATCTGTAGCACATGCGTGAATTGCACTCGCAGATTAGGCGACCGCGTCCATGTCTAGCGGCAAGCCGGTGAGTGCCATTAATCTGGTCGTTAGCGCCATGTCCAACCTGGGGAAGAGGAAGATGGCAACGGGTCCTCACCGACAATGGCGATGGGAGAGACGCAGGTTGCGCTGCCGCACCGACACCGGTGTGGGCGATGGGAGGGACGTAGGTGGCAGCGGAGGTGGCTGAACTGGTTCAAACCCTAGAACACGAATGAAACAAAAGGGAGAGAAGAAATGAGACACGATTTACTTTTTGATATAATTGAATCAATCGCTAAATCAACGGAGTATCCTTGATTTACTTTTTTCTCTACAGCGATACTGATAGCTACTACAATACACCGATCACTGGAAGGATATATTCAATTCAAATGTATTGCCTATGTTTTACTAGTTAATTACTCAAATGCCATCATGCTACAATAATTTTGTTCCGTACCTTGCCCCTCTCTGATCAACGGTGCACATTATTTCACCTTCAAGTACCTTGCAAACACCGTAAAAGATCTCTTATCATTTACATATGCAGAGTAATATCTTTCTTAAAGTTGGTTCTCATTAAGTTCCATGAAGATTATTATTGTTAAAAATATAATAATTTCTTATGATCCATATATGTTCCAAGTAAGAATGGCAATAGACTTGAATGAAGAAGGGTTTTCCAAACTTATTTTCTGTATGTCAAATCATATTAATAAAGCTCACATTTGTCTGTCAATCACTCCAAACATATTGCTAGCATCACTGCATCCCTGTAGGTTGGTAGATCACCGTAGAATCCATAGGAGGTGTTCTCCATTGCCCTTCACCGCGATTCTTACCTCCCTTCACCAATCACACCACTACCACTCGATTCTGGCCGATGCTCGGCGGATGTTGGTCACCACACCTGTCCCTTGGGGCAGGCGTTCGGTTTTCCCAGTTTTATCTGGTTTGTCTTTTCAGTTTCTTTAGAGTTCAGTTTTCACTAGAAAGAAAAAGACAACGAGGCAATAAAACCAAGAAAATTCGGTTCAGTTTTCAGTAGAATCCGAAGCACCGAAGAAATTGATAGGATGCAGAAGGGGCTGGGCAACCTCTCGGCAGTCCGTACCGTGCTGTGCTGCTCGTTGATTTCCGTTAATCTCATGGGCTACTCTGCAGTGGCATCCGAAGCATGGCGATGCTATCCTCCACCACCACCACCACAGGCGGACGGACGTCACCGATGCCTCGTTCTGCTTCGTCACAGCGTCCGCTGCATCGGTTCACAGCCCCCAGGTTGCCAGGCCTCCGGCGCTATTCTTTCTGTAGCTAGCATTCTTACCGCATGGCTCCACTCCATCGCAAGAGGCACTACTTGAGAAGTGCTCATCTCTCCCGGTTCGCAACCCCCTTTACTCCCGGGTAGCGAATCGGGAGGGAGAATCCGGGACTAAAGATGACGGTCTTTAGTCCCGGTTCAAATACCCAGGAGTAAATCTCCATCTTTAGTCCCGGTTGGTGACACCAACCGGGACTAAAGATGGCTGAGCCACGTGACCGGCAAAGCCATAACCGGGACTAAAGAATTTTCTTTTATTTTTTTTAATTTGGTTGTGCTGCCTGGTGTACATATATATATATATATATATATATATATATAGACCTAGGGTGCGTAATAGCTAAAATGCTCCTCTCACTTTCCCCTCTCTCTCTCCGCTTTTTACGGATCTAGCGGCGCAGCGGAGGCAAGGAGGAGAGCGATGGCTGCGGCGGTCGATGGAGCAGTTCAACAGCGGCGGCGTGCCCCGCCTACTGCCAAGGGTGGCGGCGTCCAGGCGACGGGCGGCCGACTTAATCACCACCCTCTCCCGCCGTTGCTCGAGGTGTGTTGCCCGGGGTTGTCGTCGGGTCGTGGCCGGATCGGCATGTGGTTCTTTTTGGTTAGATATGTAGTGCACCCGTTACCGGTGTCCGCATCCATTGTCTGCTGGAGGTCCTTGTATATGCTCATCATCGTTGGATCCATTCGCTTCTTGGGTTTCTTCGTGCCGGTTCTTGTTTTCTTGGTATTGCTTTGCTCATGGAGGTTCATGTTTTGTTGATGCATTGTCATGGTGGTGGATGCTGCATCTCAGCCTTTTGCATGATTAATTTCAGATTGTGCTTTCCTTTCTTGTGCAGTGCTGCTACTAGCATCTTACAAGGTCATTAAACTGTATGATGGGGGGATTGGTTCAATTAAGTATCTCGTTGATTCTCAGAGTTATTTTCTATATGGAAAAAAATATGTTTGCTTTCTTTTATGGCAAAGCAATTCACAACAGCAATATTATGGCTATGAAATACTAGGTTTAAGTGAAATCATATTTATTTTGCTGATTTGTGATACTTAGAAGTAACCTTCATTTTTTTTATCCAGATGGCTATGAGAATGCCTCTCCAGACGGCCGTGGTGACAGATATCTGTCGACAGGGAGGACTTGAGAATATGCAGCACTTCGTCGGCTCCATGTCGATTTGTTTTATTGGCGTTGTCTTGCTTGTTGGATTCGTGCATGCATAGATGGATCATTGACCTTGATCTACATTGTCGTATTAGTCTTGGCATCAATCTTCATCACCGTATCCTTCAGTGGTGTTGCTGTTGTGATTTTTTTACTGGAGCTGTTGTGATCTTTAATTAGTTCTGTTTATTCTACCAATGTACCACATTGCATGTGTGATCACATCGTTGATGTAATACCGAAATTAATTTACTCGATCAAAATTTTTTTAATCTAACTTGTGAGTAATTAATTTACTGATAGAAAGCGGGCTATAAGTTATGTCTACGCATAGAGTAATTCATCTAATGACATAAGACCACTAGAACCGGAACGGAATTCTTGCTAGATTCAATATGTTCTGGCAATAGTAATTTCTTTACATAAAAGCCAAAACCAAGGAGGGGAATGGATCAATATATTTCGTCGACAGTAATTTCTTTACTTAGAAGCCAAAACCAAGGAGAGGAATAAAATAAACCGGGAGTAATTTTTTTACTTAAAGCCAACACAAAGGAGGGGAGCAAAATAAACCGGGAGTAATTTATTTTACCGAAGAAAATTTCGTGGCAGCCAACAAAATAAAAATAAACCACCGGAAATAATTTATTTACCGAAGAAAAAATCATGGCAATATTTATTTGTTGATTATACGTAATTTATTTACTAAAAGAAAATTCGTGGCAAGATTAATATGTTGATTAGTAATTTATTTACTAAAAGGGAAGAGAAGCAGTGGGAATCAAAAAAAGGGTGGGAATGGAAGGGGTGGGTGGCGGTTGGCGGACGAGAGGGAAGTGGGGGTGGGAGCGGACGAGAGGGAGGTGGGGTGGGAGTGCCGACCAGCGGTGGGGTGGGGGTAGGGGGTGGGGTGGGGTGGGGTGGGGGTTGGTTGTGAGGGGAGCGTTTTAGTTATTACGCACCTTGGGTGCGGTTTAGCGCTGCCATATATATATATATATATATATATATATATATATATATATATGTATGTATGTATATACAAATATGTGTGCACTTAAGTAATTAGAGGTCATATGCATATATATATTAACAAAATATGAGTTTGCAAGTAAGTAAATATACACATATATTACCATACCAAGTACACAAAAGTAAATGCATGTGTGCATATATGAATATATAGATATATATTACAATTCGTTCGGACGTTGTAATCTTTGTTTCTGCTACTACGACTTGGTGGCATCGGAAGAAGAAGGACCGGCTTTATGAATAGTCGATCCATCGTAATAGAATTCTCCTGTGGGATCAAGAATATGCTTGTTGATGAATCCCATTATCTTTTCTTGAACAGCCCTTATGAAATCATCGTGGGTGGTGTTATCTATCAGGTAAATCATCTGTTATTTGGAAAAAAAGGGGATTATATATATGAAACCAGTAAGCAATAATTGACGAAAGAATAAATTTACGTACTTCAAGGTCCTGGCCAGTCCTGATTTGGTGTGCTAAGCAGTGCA